GGCAAACCAGCATGTGGCTCACCGGATGGTAAGAGACTACCGCCATCCATGAACAACCGCAACACCAGGGGAATTGCAGATGCGTTGCCGGCCTTTTAGAAAGATGTAAGCTCATTTCTTGAAGGTCCCTAAGTCGTATCGATCCGGAAAAGTCGTCGGTGGTAAACAATTCCACAAAGAATTTGTACGAGTAAGAAAACTGCTAGTAAAACGTACAGTCGTGGACCGCCAAGCATCCAGATGGTGAGGATGGTATGGTGAATTTTGACCCGATGTGCGTTCGTGAAATTTGGCGGCTGGAGTTAATCCGAACAATTCCTCAGAGCACTCGCCGTGGTAAATTCGATAGAAAATGCAAAGGGATGCAACATTCCTACGGAGTGCCAGTGTATCGTGCCGATCAGAAAAAACTCGGTCGTCGACGATTCGAACCGCTCTGCGCTGGATGCGGTCAAGTGGAAGGAGCTGGCACTGGGGTGCCCCGGCCCAGAGATGAGAACAGTATTCCATGTGAGGCCGAACTTGCGCTTTGTAAAGTTGCAAGCGATGTGCCAGCATGAAATACTGTTTCGCTCTGCTGAGCACGCCAAGCTTTTTAAGAGGCCAATTTGGCCTTCCCTTTCAAGTGACCACAAAACTGCACACTATTCGATATGTCGACGCCGAGGATTCCGATGCTAGCTGAGGCAGCAAGGGGAGTGCCTTGAAACTGAGGAGATACGTCAAAGGGGTTCTTTTTAGCGGTAAACGCGCAAATTTGTGTCTTCTGGGGATTGAACTGGACTAGATTTAGGCGCCCCCAATCCGAGACTTTGTTCAGCAAAGACTCGACTCCAGACACAAGTTTGTTCTGGTACTCGGCGAAGTTTTCCCGAGAAATATTGGCACGGCCAGTGTATAGAGCATCACCAGTGCTGTCATCCGCATAGCAATTAATGTTACCGGTTTGCAACATATCATTAATATGCAGGACAAACAGCGTTGGTGATAGCACGCAGCCTTGTGGAACACCAGCATTGATAGGCTTGAAATCAAAGCATGCACCGTCTACTACGACCTTGATGCTCCGATCAGCAAGGAAAATGGTGATCCGATTGCACAATTTCTCGGGAAGCCCATAGGAAGGAAGCTTCGAAAGAAGCGCTTTGTACCAGACCCGATCGAAGGTCTTCGTTATGTCCAAACTGACGGCCAATGCCTCTCCCTTGGATTCTACTGCCTCCGCCCATCTATGAGTCAGGTAGACCAGAAGATCACCAGCTGAACGACCCGACGAACACCGTATGGCGATCACTAATCAGCTGGTGATCATCAAGGTACCTCATGAGCTGGCAGTTTATAATGGATTCCATTACTTTGGAGAACAAGGAGGTGATAGCGATAGGCCTGTAGTGGGCCGGGTCTGAGCGGTCGCCTTTTTTAAGGATCGGGTGGACCAAAACTGTCTTCCATGAATTAGGGACTACGCCTTGGGAATAGGAGTACCGGAAAAGACGCGTTAAAACCGATGCCAACTCTGGAGCACACGTCTTCAGCACAATGGGAGAGACTTCATCAGGCCCACTCGACTTGCTGACGTCCAGGGAGAAGAGTACTTTGCGAACCGAGCGCTGTGTAAACCTCACATCCGCACACCGCAGGATGGTCGGCAGTGTGTTCCCCCCGTCATCTAGAGTCGAGTTGGACGCGAAGAGAGAGTTCAACAGATCGGCTTTCTCCTTTGCGGCATGGGCCAGTGAGTCTTCCTCTCTGTGCAGAGATGGAAGAGATGGCTGACAGAAGTTCTATTGGACAGCCTTGGCGAGAGACTAGAATGCACAGGTACGCGAAGGAAGGCGAACTAGCTTCTCACCAATTCTGCCGATGTGCTCAGACTTTGCCTTGGCAATGACGCTTTTGAAGGACCTGGAGGCGGAATTATACTTCTTTTTAAGAGCGCTGGATTTTACACCCCGCGACGTTGATGTGTCAGTCCAGGCCCGGTAGCACTGCTGCTTATAACGTGATGCTATTTTACAGGAGCAACCAAACCATGGCTGGGATCTGCCTCCGATGGGCACCACAGAGGATGGAATAAAAAGTTCCATACCCTGAAGTACCACATCAGCAACAGAATCGGCAACAACGCTGGGATCTTCCGGCGAGAAGCAAACCCGCCCCCAAGGGTAGGATGCAAAAAAAGACCGCATCCAGTCTTAATCGGCCGACCTATAGTGCCAAACACGGCGGCAGGCTGCAGATCGCAACTGCGATTGGATCAGATAATGGCCCGAAGAGCCCAGAGGGGCATCGACGGTGACCTGATATCCGTCCGGATGAGAGGTCAGCAAAAGCTCCAACAGGGAAGGTACATGATCCCCCACATCTGGGATCCGCGTAGGCGAAGTAACCAGTTGTGTTAGACCATATGTCAAGGCAAAGTCATAGACAGACCTACCCGCATGATCGGTAAAACGAGAACCAAGCCATTCAGCGTGGTGGGCGTTAAAATCACCGAGTATCACGATCTCTGCGGATAGGACCTGTTGTAACACGGTGTCTGCAGCCACTTGGACGTGGTCGATGAGTCGGTCTGTGTCGCCATTACCGCGATGGGACCTATAGAGGCACCTGTAGACGCGGTGATGTTCGTCGCTGTCTACGCGCAGCCATAGGATGGACAGGTCCGTACCTTCAAGACTGCCGAGGCGTCAAAAACAGATGTCCTCTCTGACGTATACACAAACTCCAGCCCGGGGCACAAAAGAGTGTTCTAATTTGTAGCCCGAGTAGGACAGATATGAAGTATCAGCCGGAGAGGACACCTGAGTCCCGGTTAAAAAGAGCAAGGCCGGCTTCGCCGTCTCTAGATGGTAATGGACAGCGTTAAGGTTGGAATGAAGTCCCCTGATGTTGCGAAAATTCACGGATAGCATGACAGGGGTCGCCTTGGTTTTATTGCTCCGCGAGCAGTAGTAGTCGCGGGCGGAATATTGCCCCCCCCCCCCTCCTCCCAGATAACCCGGCGCAGCCTGAGCACCCACTCTCAGGAGTGAAGTAGTTTGGTCGTGGATGCTCAGCGAGAGATTCCCCAGGGGTGCTGGTACCCTCCTGGGGTAGTCTTTTATGTAATTCCGCTACCATGTTGATGGGGGGGGGAGGAATTGGGCCTCCGGGCACCTGCACTCACCAAGCGCAACGCAGAGGTAAACCACCATTCACGCTGGTATTCTGTGAGGTCGTGGTACCACCCCGGTTCGAGCCGGCCCATCCGTGTGACAGCAAAAGCTGCCGCGTGGCTCTACCACTGTTAAAAACTATAAATATAACTAATATGTTAAGAAAAAATAGCGAACAAGCTTTGGCAATTATTAGAAACACTTCGAAAAATCAACTTAAAAAAACTAAGTACACTACACAATACTAAAATCGACTGAAATATTTACAATTATTTCAGTAATTGTCAAAATGGCATCTATAAAGCCCCTTTACTATTTGATTGACTGATGATGGAGAGCTATCGTATCACAGAGCCATCTAATGCAAACAAGGCTAGTTTTTGAGTTATAAGAAAGTTACCATATTAACCGGATGACCATACTCGTGACGTACTCACGTACCATACATGAAAATATACTAATCATACGTGTAAAGGAATGATTTCATAAATTTATAAAAATATCTACTTTTATTCATTACTAGCGATCTGCCCCGGCTTCTCACGGGTGATATCTGGATTCTATAACAGCGCCTCTTACCGTGTCCAACTATGCCTATGACCTTCGCGGAAGTGCAAGCAATATGTTGAAAAAGTTTTAAGACAATCTGATGAACGGAATAGCAGCGCATAAAATACGAACAAAAAATATTAATTTTTATATATATTAGATCAGGTATGGGCAACCTTTAATATGTTGAGGGCCAAACTTTGACGTGCAAATACGTTCGCGGGCCGCGTTTAAAAGTACTTAGTGCATTTTAAAGTAGTGATAATATTGTTTGCGATAGATATTAGACATGAAATAATACGACAATGTTATTATAGTACAATTTATCAAAATAATAAAATGAAATTTAATAAAATGGTACATTATAATTAAATCGTTAAATTTGCAATTGTTACAAACTACGAAAGTTAAATACACCGAAATCAATGAGACACTTGAGCTTGAATTTGGGAAACTAATCCATCAATATTTGGATTAATTCCACTGATACAAAGACGTAAAGAATTTTCCAAATTATCGTCAGTCAGTCTTGTACGATGTGTTGATTTATTAACTTTCATCAATGAAAAGAACTGCTCGCATTTATGAGTACATACTGCCAAACGTACAACTTCTTGCGAATTTTCTTAGCTGCGGAAAATTGTCTTCTTCCAGGTATTTTTGTACAAATCGCACAACGTCTTCAAATTTGGATTTTAGGAGTGAGTTTTCTTGAATCTCGATCAACTCCATTTGTAAGTGTATTGGAGCATTTTGTACATTATATTTTGTAGGAGTAGCAAATAAACTGAAACAGTCTTCCATGTTTTTGAAGTCGCTAAATCTGTTCGAAAATTGTTCCGACAGTAACTTGAGTTCTTCGGCATATTGAGCACAAGCAATATTTTCATACGCAGAGAGCGTGTTGAAATGTAACTGTTACCAGACAGCATCTGTGACTCCCACAAGCGTAGTTTGATCTGAAACGTTTTCAAATGACTGTACAAATCATTTACTAACTGTCCTTGTTTTTGAAGTTTCAAATTTAAATCATTCAAATAGCCTGTAAGATCGACCAGATATGCCAATTCACGTATCCATTTTGGGTCACTTAATTCAGATAGTGGTTTATCTTTTATTTTCATAAAGTCTGCTATCTCATTTCTAAGCTCGTAAAACCGTTTCAACATTTTTCTTTTGATCAGCCATCTGACTTCACAATAATATGTTACGTCGTTATATTCAGCTGATATTTCATCCAAAAACGCCTTGAACTGACGATGGTTAAGCCCTCGGGATCATAATATTCTGGAGTCAAATGGACTTAGAACACAAGTTCTGTTGTTGGATAATGCAATGAAGGACTATCAAATCATCTTTTTGTACATTTAATTCTGTTGCTTTTTCATTCAAAATTCCGATGAAACCTTTACGTAAGCCGACCATAAAAGGTGCACCATCAGTGCATACTCCAATTAATTTTGACCATGGCAAACCAAAACTTGTGAATACCTTTTGAACTTCAATAAAAATATCCTCTCCTGTAGTGGTTCCTTTTAGCGGCTGTAAAGCAAGCAATTCCTTAGTAACAGTGAATTCCTTATCAACACCTTGAATAAATATAGCCAGTTGAGCTGTGTCAGACAAATCGGTGCTCTCGTCTAATGCTATGTAAAATGATTCAAAACCAGCCATACGGACAGTCAATGTTGTTTTTATATCATTAGCCATCATTTCTATACGTCGAACAACAGTTCGTCTTGACAAACTAATTTTTTTCAAATTCATTTTTCTTTTCAGGACACAAAATACCGCAAACTTCTAACATACACTGCTTGATAAATTCTCCTTCGGCAAATGGTTTTAATTAACCTTTGCCAATTTTGAACTAAGTATAAAACTAGCTTTCACAACATTATCAAGTTGTGTTCTTTGTTTATGAAACATTTGTTGCTGTTTTTACCAAATTTGCGGTAAGCTTCTGGATTTTTTCTGTTCTTAATTGTCCTGTCAGTGAGTGCAGTGTAGCATGCTTAGTTGAGTAATGCCTCTTTATATTGAATTCTTTCGTTACTGAAATGGATTCATTACACAGCAAACAAATATGCTTACAATTGTGCAAGATAAAAAAGAATTCTTCAGTCTATTTTATCTAGAAAGTGGCGACCTCCTGTATCTACTTTTCGTTTCTTTCCACCAGACATCATGTTTGTTTACTTTTCGTGCAATAAACTTAATAACAAACTATAGTTAGTAACCACTCAAGATGCACACAAAGTCACAAAGCAAGTTGACGGCTCGAGCAGTTCGCTAGGAATCGCTTGTCCAAGTTATCACCTCGGTAGCTCAAATAGAACTGAACTATAGAACTAACTAATGTAATTTTTTTTTAATTGGGTTTTTTCAAAATGTCTCGCGGGCCGGATCATATCTTACAGCGGGCCGGTTGTTGCCCATATATGTATTAGATCATACATTAAATAATCATAGTTTGATATCATAGATAACTACATATTATATATGATGACATTACACTTTCTTTACTAGCAAGTAAAATAAAAACGAGTATGTGGTAGTTAATGTACATACACATTAACTGCAGACTTCACACATCATTTCACTTTCGTCGAGAAAGTTCTACAGATAACCTTATGTAATAAACGGGCAGTTGACCTATGCAATGGAAAGTTTATTAAAACAAACAAAGATCTTTTAAAAGGTCAAAAATAAATATGCTACTTCTATATAAAACTAGCTACATCTATATAAATAAAATGATAGAGGTTTGCAGTTCGTATTCCCACAGAATACCAACGTAAATTAGCTTACCACTTACCATCAGGTGGACTGTGTGCTCATTTGTCACCCTAATTCTATAAAAAAAAGTTGTGCGCGAATCAAGAAAAAAAACTACTGTACTCACTTAGGTTTTCTTTCTTAGACACTTGGCCGTTATCTAAACAACAATTATTGCGATATCTTCATTTAATATAAAGTTAGTTTAGTTAGTTTACGACGGGCTGTTTACCGCAACTCCACGTCTAAGCGCGCATTTTGCGTGTATTATAAAGTTATTAAAGTTTTAAGAAACAACGATTTTATAAAAACTACGTATTAGTCGTACGTGGAAGTCGCGGGTATCAGCTAGTAATAGATAATAGGACTAAGGTATTCTTAGATGTAATAATTATACATGGAATGTAAGGGAGAATCTGCCTCGGAGTCCATCTGCGTTGTTCGCGCCAAACACTGTCAAGAATCGACGCCAGATGTCACTCGGCTCGGCGCGATACCGGTTTGAAGTTCGGCCGAGCGTGGCAAGAGCGCGCGGGTCGCGAGCGAAAAAGTCAGCAGTCGTCTGCCAGGTGTACTTGGAACAGCACGCTGTAATTTTTGTGCGGGAACCGCGGAATAGTTAGGGCGTCTAGTAAATATCCCGTCTAGGATTTATAACGCGCATTCCCTGTTTGGATAGCCTTTCCCGGGACTTATTGGGTCCGACTCAGAATCTGTATAAGTGCATTCGACAATATTAGTTAGTGCGGCCTCTGATATTCTAGAACTAACTGTTGCAACGCGAAACGGTAGTGACCTTTGATCCAAAAACTCCGTGTGCGTTTTGTGCTTTAACCTTATAACCAGCGACAGTTAGTGGCTTCTGTAAGTTAGTAAATCGTACGATAGAGTTAATTGACTGTCATCGTGACGAAAGAGGATAGTGACTATGGACAACCTCGGAAGGCCCCCTCAAGTTGGAGCGGTGTCGACGCTCGGGCTGCTGCCGACGGCCAAGGTCTAGGTTCAATCACCATCAGTCACACCCCGATACACATCACATCACTTATTTCCCTTTCACTACACAACCACATGTGACAATCACGCCCGTCCGTAATACGTAAAAATATTTTTTTGTACGTAATAATAAAATTATTTCCCTTTGTTGTTTGTTGCTTGCCTTTTTTTTTGGTTAGTGGGTAATTTGAAAAACCGCGCCCTAGGTTGCGCAAGCGGGAGTTTTTCTAGAAATATACGTCATGTAGGTAGATGGTTATTTTTACGTAATCGGTTAATTATCGTTGTCGGATAGTTGTAGTGGATTACTTATCGAAGGGTCGATTTCAGAGCTAGGCATTTTTTGTTGATCGACCGTGATGTGTATCTTCGTTTGTATTGTAATTTGTATTTGAACTAAAGAGTAGTAATTGTATTTGCGCAATTTGAATTTAACTTGATTTGATCGCACTAGTATTTGTTATTTGTTAATTTGATTTGTGTCTTTTCTTTTGCGCTAACTTGTATTTGGTTGATACGTAGTAATTCGTATTTGTGTAATTTCTATTCAACGCGATTTGATAGGAACTGCATTTATTAACTGTTAATTTTTGTTGTATTTTTTATTTGTTATCTTTGTAATTTGTGCTCGAGCCGCGACGTAATTTGTATTTAGTAGTGATGTCATCGCCCAAGCTACTAATCCGTTGTCTGCGGACTGAGTTGCGCTGGGCCACAAGCGCCCATGCTTTGATAGGTCGACCGGATAGGGTCCATAACTTGATGAAGCGGTTCGAGCAGGTGGATGCTCGAAGGGCCGCAGTGGAGGAGGCTTACGCTGAGCTCGAGGATTCGGATGTGGAGAAGGGAGTCCTGGACTCCTGCTTCGCGGACTATGAGCAGTTCTTGTGGCTCACGGACGAGTTGATCGAGGCTGAAGGCAGGTATGCCGAGGAGGCGCGTGAAGCTCGGATGAGTGACCTGTCCGAGTCCTCTCTGAAGCAGCTTCAGCCGGAGCTGTTGGGACGACTTCCAACTCTGGACCTGCCAAAGTTCTCCGGGGTCCTTTCCGAATGGCTGACCTTCGTTGGTCTTTTCGACAGCCTAGTGGACGCCCGGAGTGACTTGACCCCGAGCCAAAAGATGGCGTACCTCCTGGCCTCACTGGAGGGGGAGGCCCTGGGCGTCGTCGGCCACTTGAGATTGTCGGACGACGCCTACCAGACTGCTCGGGACCTCCTAGCCAGAAGATACGCCAACGTCCGGCGAATTGCGGACGAACATGTTAAGCAGCTTCTAAGCCTCCCGCTGCTTAGTGACCGGGCCAGACTACGTCCGGACCTGTTGGATCCAGTCTTGGTGGCCTGTAATGCGTTGAGGCGGCTGGAATTACCAGTGGGCGAATGGGCTTTTTTGTTGCTCCGCATCGTGCTCTCCCGTCTACCTCTCGACCTTCGAATCCATTTTGAGGAGAGGTACGGCGGGGACGAGGCCTCCTATATTCCGCCCTTCTATGACCTGCTGCGGTTTTTGGAGGAGCAGTGCCGGCAGATCGAGAACGCGGCGGGCACCGTTCACGACTTACGAGACGTGCCCAGTGAGAGGCTGAACCCGCCAGGCAAATCGTCGTCAACCCCCCCTGCTCCTATTGTCGAGCATCTGATCATCGGGTAACGTCGTGCCCGAAATTATTAGGTAAGCCGGTTCCAGCGAGGCGAACTATCGCCAAGGAGCGCCGCTGGTGCTGCTCATGTTTGGAAGGGCACCGCCAGCGAGACTGTCCGCATCGGCGGCCCTGTCTACATTGCCAGGGCAATCATCATGCAGTTTTGTGCCTGGGTGCGAACGGCGTCTCCTCTCGGGGCTCTGCCAGGCCCTCGAACCCTACGGGCGGGGGCGCTTAGCCACGCCCTTTGCCGGGCGGCTCTCGGCGCCCGCCGGCTGGCCACTGGGCCCCTAAGTTTGAAAGGGGCCCCTCCCCCGACCAGTCGGGGGGTAATTCCCCCAGGGGCGGGGGTGTCATCACCCCCCCCCCCCTCAGCGTGTGGAGAGGAACTTCACGGCCACTCATCGGTCCGCTGGACCCTTCTCACTCCCGTTAGCTGAGTGGTCGCGGCTGGTGTACCACTGTTCCCCATTTGATGGAGGCGGCCCTAGCTAGCTGCCGCCTTAGCTCCCACCACGGCCACCTCCACTGAGCCTTAAGCCGTCAACAGTCCACTTGTCAAAATGTTCTGTTGCCGACGGCCTCAGTGAAGGCGTACAACCCGAGTGGCGACTGTTAGCGATCTCGGGTTCACGCCATGTGGCCTCCCCTTGGTGGTGGGAAGATTAGGGCGCCTCTGGAGCGTTGAATCACGCTGTCAAGGGGTATTAGATTTGGTTTGGTCGAGCACTTAGTCACAAAATACTTGAAATAAAATGAAAAAATGCTTTGGGCTTTCCGCGAAATTTTCCTATTTGTAGCGGTTTAAATTAAAAGAATTGAATTTAATCTACTCCTTTAAATGCTACTGCATGTATTTTGTACATATATTTAATCACTGTATTTGATTGTTGCGTCTGTTTGCTGAAAGGAAATTGAATGGCGCGCTATTTGAAAAATTATGTATATGTTTATGATAGTGTTTAATCATTTTGCTTTGCGAAGAAGTAGGGCTGTCCCTTACGTTATTGTTTTGTTTAATTTGCAAGTTGACCTATGCGCATCGGTGATTAATTTGGTTGAATTAATTCTGTAGTTGAACATTGATGCTTTTGAAAAATTAGTTGAAATATGAGCATAGGACTACCTGCCTAACAGGCTAGCTAGTTTTGGAGATTATCAGATTGAAATCAGCTGCCGCACTATTTTAGTAAATGATAATATGGTGGGTGGCCTGGCTAGGCCTACTTGTTGAAAATTCATACTAGGGACTATCTGTGCGTTTCGTTCGGCTCTCCACAGACAACATGTGGAATTTGTGGGTGCGCTCTGCACTGAAGCAACTGCTGGCACAAAATTTGTCTGGGCAGCTTCGTGTAGCGTCGCTGTTTGCAGAGCTGATCCGGTCGGATTGCGGAACTAATCATAGGGGCACAGATAGGTGTTTGAAAGAGGTCGTCGGACTTCTGTCCAGTACAGGACTTGTTAAAGTGCTGCGATGCCCAGGAGGGGCATCCAGTGGAGGCTGACCCTCCGGCTTGCCACATTAGGGCTATCTTTTGAGGCGTTGGTTAGGATTGCAAGATCTGATAGGTTGCCTAAGGTGGCCTAGTTTGGTTGTAGATTCGGTTTTGCAACTTGCCTTCGCGACCTTGTCACGCTGACCGGTTTGCTCGCGGACCTAAATCCTTATGTCCGGGACGGGGGTTTGTTCGTGCCAAACACTGTCAAGAATCGACGCCAGATGTCACTCGGCTCGGCGCGATACCGGTTTGAAGTTCGGCCGAGCGTGGCAAGAGCGCGCGGGTCGCGAGCGAAAAAGTCAGCAGTCGTCTGCCAGGTGTGCTTGGAACAGCACGCTGTAATTTTTGTGCGGGAACCGCGGAATAGTTAGGGCGTCTAGTAAATATCCCGTCTAGGATTTATAACGCGCATTCCCTGTTTGGATAGCCTTTCCCGGGACTTATTGGGTCCGACTCAGAATCTGTATAAGTGCATTCGACAATATTAGTTAGTGCGGCCTCTGATATTCTAGAACTAACTGTTGCAACGCGAAACGGTAGTGACCTTTGATCCAAAAACTCCGTGTGCGTTTTGTGCTTTAACCTTATAACCAGCGATAGTTAGTGGCTTCTGTAAGTTAGTAAATCGTACGATAGAGTTAATTGACTGTCATCGTGACGAAAGAGGAAAGTGACTATGGACAACCTCGGAAGGCCCCCTCAAGTTGGAGCGGTGTCGACGCTCGGGCTGCTGCCGACGGCCAAGGTCTAGGTTCAATCACCATCAGTCACACCCAGATACACATCACATCACTTATTTCCCTTTCACTACACAACCACATGTGACCTGACCGACTCCGGAGGGACCAGTCGCTTTGGATATAGGTAAGTAAGATCCGTCTAATATCCTATAGTTGTCACCCGTGAGGACTAAGATGGAATGCCTTATTTTCAGTAAAAGGGGTCTCCGGTTCTCTACACTCACCATACGAAACACAGCAGCGTTAAGCTGCTATTTTACGGTAGGTTTTCTGTGACAGCGTGGTCCTTCCCCGGTCGAGCTGACCCATTCGTGCTACAACTATACTACTAATATAGTTGCATCATGGCTCTACCACGTAAAACTCACTTGGAAGAGAAGGCCAAATTGGCCTCTAAAAACCTTGGCGTGCTCAGCAGAGCGGGACAGTATTTCCTGTCATGTAATGCACAACGTCTGCAAATTTACAATGCGCAGGTTTCGCCTCACATGGAATACTGTTCCTATCTTTGGACTGGGGCTCCCCAGTGCCAGCTCCTTCCATTTGACCGCATCCAGCGCAGAGCGGCTCGAATCGGCGACGACCGAGTCCTTTCCGATCGGCTCGATTCATTGGCGCTGCTAAGAGATGTTGCATCCTTTTACATTTTCTTTCGCTTTTACCACGGGGAGTGCTCTGAAGAATTGTTCGGATTAATCCCAGCCGCCAAATTTCACGAACGCACATCGCGGCTGAACTCCCGATACCATCCACATCATCTGGATGATTGGTGGTCCACCACTGTGCGATTTAGAAGATGTTTTCTTCCTCGCACAACTTCCTTGTGGAATCGATTAAAGGCCGGCAACGCATCTGTAATTCCCCTGGTTCCGCTGGTGTTGCAGTTGTTCATGGGCGGCGATAGTCACTTACCATCAGTTGAGCCGCATGCTCGTTTGCCCCCTCTTCTATAAAAAAAATGCTATACTAATGCAAACGGGTGATTGGGATCTCTGGGGATCCTATACTCCTTATGCTTAGATAGAATTCTTTGTCTAAGCTATACTCTGTTCTAGTCTCTATTTAGCCTTTGGCAGTACTATGGAGTGTAGAGTAGAAGGAGGACCATCTCTGTATATGAAAAGTGTCCCTAAAAACGCGTCCAATAAGGGTGGCGCTGCAGTAGCATAGGATAAATTTAAAAAAAAGCGCCAAAATTCATTAGAATAAGATGGAGAAATAAACAAGGACTGACCAATCCGCTTGGTTTTGTACTACGTAAATAGTTGAGGTTTTGTATACTGGTATTTTACTAACTACTCTAGTCATGAAATTTTTTAAATATTTTAATTCAGCTGGCTTCACTCCGTCTACAACAGCTATATTCATATTGTAGTTTTTCAGACGCCAGCGCTATTGTGATAGGTTTTGGAACCTCTATTTTCAGTATATATTGGGACACTTTTTCAACTTTCGCACCTTATAAGATGGTTCTCCTTCTACTCTACACTCCATAGGCAGTACGTTGCATTAGGGATGAGCAAGTGTCAAATTAATCTATATTTATCGTATCTGTATTTTTAAATAGTATCTAACAGTATCGATAATTATTCCGCGATAATGTTTTGCATTATGTAGTAGAATAAGGGCCAAAATTTTATTGCTGGACGTTTCAACGACAGAAAAAACTACAGCATATGAATGCTTTCGTAGTTGCGTTTGTTGCCTAATTATTTTGTCTAATAAATTACAAAGTCTGTTACATTATAAAATAAATGTATCTTTTAAAATGTGATATATCGAATATCATACAAATTCGATGCTCTAAAATTAATATCGGGATTCGATATATCGCGATTAAAATATCGTTGACAAATATCGATAACTTTGTGAGAGAATATCGATGGTTCGATATTTTCTACCCAAGCCTACGTTGCGTCAATTCTAGAAATTGGGATTTGCTTTGCTGCCGGTGCTAATCTGCTAATTTTATATTCTTCTAAGTCCAAAGAATTTATATGCTATACGCTAACGGAATTTAAACCATAAAATGGAAAACGACATATTAGACTCTTTAAACGATTTGGGGTAAGTGTTTGATTTTAGGTTTTAGGGGTTATGAAGCTTGGGGATGCTGTTTACTCAATCAATAAAGAGATACATTTTCTTATTATAATTTCATTTTGATAGATAATATAATTTGAATACTATGCCAACTTCATGATGCTCACATAATAAAGGGTCAAAATATGCTTTGAGAGTTGTCTTGAATGCTATGTGGCAAATTTTAAATTGTTTTATTGATTAAAAAATACTTCCAAACTAACACTTTCAATTTATTAATTTTAAACCCTCCCAATTTATAACATCTAACCCATTTAGCTATTTTTAAATATATAAAATAATAAGACTTATATTGTTCTTAACTATTTTAATTTCATATTCTTTTGTAGAGTAATATTTTATAACAGTAATTTTTTTTTTTCAGTTACGAAGGTCCTTTATCAGATGAGGTGGCTTTTGCCAAAGCTCTAGACGGTGGCCACAAGTCTCTGGAATTCACCAAACTTGTTCACATACTTGCGGAAGAGCTTAAGAAACTATGTAACCTAGAGGAAACTGTCAACATGATGAATGATCCTGATGAGTCCAGTGCTTTCCTGCTTGAGTTGAGCTCTTTTTTAAAGGAATTAGGTTGTCCTTACAGAAAATTAATCACAGGTGATTATTGACAGCTTGATAGTAAAAAATATAAGTAACAAAATATTATTGAAATTGGTTATAACCACTTTAATAAGCCATCCAACTAAGGACACTATATCTGATCATTGTAATTATCAATAGGCCATGCATTCATAATGTAACATGTAGCTCAACATGTTTAGTGTCACAATATACTATTTGTTATGTTAAAAATGTACATAGTAGCAGATAAGTGGATGTGCTAGGTAATTGTTTATTTATCCTTCTAAATCTTTTCAGGTCATATGTCATCACGGCTGCAAACTAGAGAAGACCGTATACTCTTACTTGACTATTTAATATCTGAATTGATGGCAGCTAGGATGGTCAGTATAGACTGTCCTAAAGAGAAGCAGGGATCTGCCATGGAAATAATAATGGTAAACTTATGAAATTTATTCTAATATAATATTGCCATTGTATATATTCTCAATATATAATGGAACTAGCTGTTCCCCGCGACTTCACCCATGTGTTATTTGGGGTTTTAATTTTTTTGTGTGGAACCCCAATTCTTTTTCTAAAATAAAATTAGCTTAAGTTACTCCTTGTGACATCAACTATCTGCCAGTGAAAATCCCGTCAAAATCGGTCCAGCCATTTCGGAGATTAGCCAGAACAAACAGACAGATGGACAGACAGACAGACAAAAACTTTAAAAGTTGTATTTTTGTTATTAGTACTGTATATACTTTCATATGCATTTAGTAAAACGCTGTAATTTTGACATTAGAAACAGATACTTAAATTTTATTTATTTGTATAGATATGTCATATAATATGTAATAATATATGTATATATATTATTTTGATATTTGCTGGCCTATATATATTGTTTTATAAAGTGCATGCTTTCTTAGTAACTTGTAGGTAAGCCACATGACTTAGTAATATATTACTGACCCCACAATATTGGGAAGAGAATATTGCTTAAAGAAAACTGGTTAAATTTGTTTGTTTATTTTCAGCAAGAATCCCCCACTGCTAAAGACCTTAAAGAAATCCTGATAGCACTAAAGTTCAACAAGCCACCGCCAAACATTACACCAGAGATATTGTTCACAAAACTGGAAGCCAAGTTAAAGGACACCATTCAAAAAGAAGGTGAGTACTTTTAATTTCAATATAATATAATATATGTACGTGGTAGAGCCATGCTGCAGCTATATTAGTAGTATAATTGGAGCACGAATGGATCGGCTCGACTGGGGAAGGGCCATGCTCTCATAGAATACCAGCATAAAATAGCAGCTTAACACTGCTGTGTTTCGTATGTTGAGTGTAGAGAATCGGAGACCCTTTTGTGACCCTTGGTGACAACACATCTACATTTTGATTCGCAAACGAGGATAGATGTAGATGTCTATGGGCCACAGCAACCACTTACCATCAGGTGGACTGTGTGCTCATTTGTCAACACTTGTAAACATTTTCTTACTTCTCATCCTAACAATAACAGTCTGTTGCTGGAAAACAATATATATCCTATAATGTATATGTATAATAATATGTATGTATACCACATAATAAATTGTTTAATTTAATAATTACAGGTGAACAATTAGTCGGCAAGCCACTGTACAATAAAGCATTATCTCAGAAAGATTGGAAACAGCTAGAGAATACATTTACTGAGATGTATGAAGAGTACAGACTAAGAAGAGAGACTCTTATTACTAGGTTGGAATGCACAATTCAGAGTTTTGAGGTAATATTTTGTAATTATTTAATCTGGCCCATAAATAGTTCAAAGTTTTTTAAGGTTTTTAATGGTGGATATTCTTATTGAGCAAAATATGGGCAGCATAGTCCGCCATGATATGGAAGAATCCACTTCATATCATCTTGTGTTGTAAATTGCAACAAAGAGATACAAAACAGGAAATTGGCAACAGTATCTTCTTGATAACAGCTAAAGATAAAAAACCTGTGGTTACCGCCTGCAAAGAGTGGCAATTATGGCAAGTATTCCCACTATGAGTTATTTATTCAAATGTTTGGAAATTGACATTTTATAGTCTGTAATAATGATTAATGATGGGCTGCATAATCCTAATTTGATAACTTCTTTTTCATTAGTCCATAGGCAGTGAACTGCTATTCAAATTGACACATCTGCCTGTGAGGGTCTCTACCGTATATGTATTCTAACTGATAACTTTTTCCTGTCACTGGTCCTGGGATATTTTAAGTTTGATATGAATACAAAATGGTTATAAAGTCACTTAGGATTCCATTGTATGGTGTTTAGTTAACCGTTACCACTAGGGTTAACGCATACCTGATTATTTTAATACCCGGTCATCAGGTATTATTATTTCTTAAACCCAGATATCTGCAATTTTTGCAGAGAAAGAGACAATGTTCTTATAATAATCATGTTTTATTTTATTACAAAAGAGTGAAGTATTTCAATCAATAACCCTAAAGCCGGCGCCAGATACAGCTTTAAAGTGGCAGTGGCACGGGACTTTGAATCAAGGTTCAAATAAGTGCACAAAGAAATGCACTTTGTCAAGCGGTTTCGGTTTTTCAGTGCACATGAAATTGTTCAAAGTCGACAGTGTTTAAATGTTTGCATAGCCTGCCACACTTGCGTCAAGTTCAATCATAAAAAATAACATTAAGTAATATTCTCATTGTAATGTATGTAATGTAAGTATGTTCACAAGACATCCATTAGCACCTGCTTTTTGGCCATTTTGATAGATTTTTTTTGCACATTGTGCCAATTAGTTGTGCAAAGTCCTTCAAATAAGTGTTCAAATGTTGTTGCTATATCTGGGGCGGGCCTAACTTATAGTATAATCAGTCACACAGTTAAACAGTCTTGTTCTCATTAACTAATTAGTAACTAAAATGACTATTTACTACAATTAGATAGTTGTATTCCCCTTTTTCGCAAACATAAAATATTGCCGCTTTCAGCATAATACATTAACAAAATTTGTGTCTGTTCACAAAAGTAGTAATTTATTTGAAAATCAAAACGACGTTATAATTGGGACTATAGTCTTTGCAGCATGGTGCGTATAACAGCTCACGCCTATACTACAGATATTGTTGTACTTCATGGATGGGTAACGCCCACTTATGATAGTGATGTTGTACGGTTAACTATGCCAAGTCATAGTAAAAACTAGTTACCGCTATTAAAGTCCACTGCTGAACATAGGCTTCCCCATAGAGGAAATCTAAAATAGAGGGGATATTTGCCATAATTGCCACGCTTGCGCAAGCGGGTTGGCAACTGCAGTTTTTTTTGTAGTTGTTGTTTGACGCTGCTTGTCCAACTTCTGATTTGTTTCCCCCTGTCGCCTCTTACGACACCCACGGCATGATATTGGATAGTGGATATTCTTAAATCGCCAATATATGGTGTTTGATTAACATTTAAATTTAATTCTAATTTCAGTGGTCAGACCGTCTTAAAGGGAAGAAAGACCAAATACAGTCAACATATAGACCTAAACGAGAACAAATGAAAGTAAAACCTGACATAAAGCTATCTGACTTTTTAGCAGCTAGAACTTCCTTATTGCATGTTGACAAAACTTCCAGTGCCAATGTCAGGAAGAACACGCAGTCGGAAGTCAACAAAGTTATGATTGGAAGGGTGAGTTATTATTAACTGTCAAATGGATCGGGATCATGCTTTGGTAAATAGTAAGAAAGGTCTAGAATAGAATATAATTTTGTATTTGATATAATTTCTAATTCTTATTGAAAGGCAATTCTTACTTTTACCAGTGGTTCAGAAAAAAAAATTGTCCTGGGAAAAGAACCAGCAAGAATATTAAAAAAAAAAATTAAAGAAACCCAGTAGGACTTTTTAATATAGTAACATAATACAATGAAAAAAATAGATAGTGCAATTAATCACAAAATTTATTTTCTCTATATTCTCAAAGCACTACATTAAACGGTGGTTTTGTGTTGGGCTGCAACAGTGGTATGATAGAATAGAATAGAATAATTTTTTATTCAATATAGATCACATGTGTAATTCTTATTGAAACTCATTTTTTACTTTACTACTGGTTCGAAAAAAAACCTCTGTCCTGGGAAGAACCAGCAAGAAACCCAGCAGGACATTTTTTAAAAGCAAATTTTAAATTAATGGTTGTACAAACTATATAAGTACAAAATTTAGATATGGGCAATGAGTTGTTCTCCCTAATCTTCCTTCCACCTCTGCTTGCTTCCGTAACTCTCTTTCTATATAGTTTCCCCATCAAGTGGATTGCGGATTGATGTAAAATATTTATGTAACATAAAAATAATAGGCTGAGTAAGTCGTAGATTGATTCTGCTGGTCAATTTTATATGAATTTCTTCAACCGCATTCACACGCGCTCGCACACACACGCACACACACACACACACACCCACACACACCACACACACACACACACACACACACACACACACACACACACACACATATGTACACCCATGCACATACACACACACTATATCATATAAACTTTAAAGGATTCTTTAAGATGAAATTGGGATTCAAGTGAATATGCAATTTTTATCAATTGTCAGAGCATTCTCCTTGAGACAGTAGAGTGCACAAAGTGCAGTCCATCTGCAATTGGCAGTTAGAGAAAAAATTCTAAATTTCCCCCTTACACCCCGTGTGTTTATTTAGTTGTAGAATTTAGAGACAATATAGGAGCGGTTTACGAATATCTCTTACCATATATCGTCCCGTGGGTGTCGTAAGAGGCGACAGAGGGAAAATAACAGAAGATGAGCTTCAGCGTCTACTTAATAACACCCAGTAAAAAAACTACAATTGCCAATCCGCTTGCCAAGTATGGCGACTGTGGCAAATATATGCTTATGAGGCGATGAACCTAAAGAGGAAGCCTATGTTCAGCAATGGTTGTTTGATAATCTGTAACTATAACAGAATTATGTGAAGGTCTTAAGTTATTTAATATAGTTTAATAGAAACATGACCGTAGGCAAGTTTAGAGGATTGTGAAGCTGAAAGTTTTCATACAAAAAGCTATAACGTTTTGCCCCTGTAAACATTAGTTATAATTAAAAACCCCGCAAGTTTTTATTTTGAAGAAATATTGCGTACTATCAGGCCTACGCTGCGCGGCCGCCTACAAAGGTCTAATTCCGTGAGGTTGTCACGCGCACGCTCGAGCTGACGTGCGCCTTACGTTAACAAAAAAGTATTTTCTGCCGACTTCCAAAAAGGAGACGGTACTCAATTCGACACGTTTGTTTTTTTTTCATGTGTGTTACCTCATAACTTTTTACTGTGTGGACTGATTTCAATGATTCTTTTTTTATATGAAAGCTGATACTTCTCGTGTGGTCCCATAGGTCAGACCAATAGTTTTTGAATTATTTGAGTTATTCTTAATAACTTATATTGAAGTCGGCTGTACAAAATTTTTAATTTTAAATTATGTCTTAAAAGTTTTTAGGTACTTTTGATATTTATTTTTGAGTTTTTATTCAAGTGTTGCCTCTCAAATAGCAAGAAGGTTTTGCATAGCATTCAGGTGCTTAAATAACAATAGGAATGTCGCCTTTTATGCTTTACTGTTCCTAAGGATGCCGAAAGGTAAGATATTATTATAGATAGATATTATTTATAGATAGATCTAGATAATCAGGTACCTATTTACTGACGCCATAGTTACAGATTTGTTATTTGATTAGCGACCCCACCACAGCTTCGCAGTTTTCGATTTTTTCACGTATAATATCAATGAGCTTAAAAATCATTCAGTGTGAGTAGACCTGTCAGTATACTGGTGATAAGTTTAACACTTGGTCAATAAAAAAAAGAGATTGAAAATAGTAGCACTTCTCATTCTATATATATACATGTTCTTATCAGTAAATTACTAATAAATTGCATAACACCTCGGTGTATTCTACTACCAACTAATGTCAAAAGATTGAATTTGTTTTCTCACAATATACAGTAAGAGCCTCCTTAACAAAGGCGCGTAACGGTCTAAGTGATACAGACTGACATGCGGACGTAAGGTGCATTTTGATTTAATACGCGCGCCGCGTTAATTTTTTTTCGACTATTTAATCGGTAGGCTATTTTAACAAAGGTTGCATCGGAGGCGTGCAAAGTATTATGAACATTAGCTACGTTGTTACTAGGTTCAAACTCGCAAGTTTGCAATCATATAAGTTAGCATCTAAATATCTATATTTTTGACTTAAAAACCTCGAGCGTTTTTATTTTATTTCATTAAACTAAACTGAATTACTAAGAAAGATAAACGTACAGACCTAGATTAAGGTGTACTGAATCTAACGAGACCGAAATTGCCCTCATTTCTGTGGGGTGAAAACGTTATCGGCCGAAAAAATATTTCATAGAGGAAATGTAGGCAATTGCTTCCAAAGAACAATGGCAGACTTTCATACATAAAATTAGTTGAGAAGGAATGGTAGGCTCTATATATCAAAAATATCTTAAAATATTAAGCGTCAGTCCCTTAATAACTCTGTCAAAGAATTTTGTCCTGAGAAGGCGTCAAAAAAAAGATACTCGTATTTACATTTGAACCTTTTTAGGTTATATTCTATGTCACTTGGAAAAAGTCATGCTTCCTGTGGTTGTTTAATGTTAGCTTAATACATAATACATAATTCAGAGTTTTTAGATTATTGTATCTCTATTATATATTTGCATAATATAAATGTATATATCTGGCATGGCTCCAGGGCCTTTGTATCATTGTGACATTCTCAGAAGGGCTAGAACCCAGAGCCGTAAAGCCAGTAAAAATACAGTGACATTTTGTTTTAGCTAGTGTTGGCATAACATTAAATGAAATTGTTACATAGTACTATGATTGAGATAATGTATTATTGTGGGAAATTCTTCGTAAGAAACTTATTCTCAGCCATATCACTTTTATTTTTATTATTACTGATAGTACAGTTATTACTAATGATAACTTAATATAAAAATATTTTGTGTATTGTGTTGGTAGTCTTACAAAGTATATATACGAATATAGTATGAATATACTAAATGGCAACACTTGAATAGAGTAAAATGATTTAAGTGGGAGTTTTGGCGGGAACTCGACCGGCGGCGGTTTGCTGCTCCTGTATTATAGTTTAAATAATAGTTTGAAGTGGATTTTGATATGTAAAAGTGGTGCGATTTTATGTATTAACTGTCTACGCATGTGAACTATTAGTGGAAACGGTGATACAAGTGCTCTGATGGTGATGGATTCTCAAGATAAGCCGTTTGTTTGCATAGGCGCCTTTAGATACCATCGCCAACTATCAGCTGTCTGCTGGCTCAAGATGCCGTCAAAATCTCCCAAGGGCTGCACAATGTGACGCATCAACATATTGTGAAGCAGTGAACTATGAAGGATAATTATTTATAATAAACCGAATAAAAATACTCAAGACTTGGCCTAAAGGTCTAGATACCAGGCCATAAGCTCCTATAAAAAAAAATGATTTAAGTCAGTTGATATTCCCAAAAATGTTTGTTTTTTTCTGTGGCTTTTATTAAAATAGATTTTTATTTGAAAAATCATAGAAAAATAATAAAACTCATTTTATATATAACTTATTTCTAGACGCGATAATTTTTGTCAACTATTTTTCTGCCATTGCTCTTTCCGACTCTCTCTGTCGCACGATACGGCAAAACGGAGCGGTATAAAAGAGATAGCATTTTTGAAAATACCTACTTTCGCCGCGTATCGGTACTTCACAATCCTCTTAATACAAACCTGTTAACATTCCGACCTGCGGACTAAGGCTGGTATTCAGAGATAATGTCAAGTTTAACCTTACACAACATCAATATTTTGAATTAGACCATATTTAATACAATTTTATTATGTTACACAACTGACATTGTGAATATTAAGTTTTAACTCAAGATTGTCTCTGAATACTGGCTTAGACATTTTCAGAAGAGAAATTCTCAGTTTGGAGACTCCCATTTTTTGTTGCAACATACCCTAATATATGTAAGCAAATATATTAATTTAAAAAAAAAAGATATGTCTTTTCTCGCTCGAAAGGATAAAACCTACCAAAAAAATAACTACTGTTTATGGACAGGTACCAGACAGAGGGGGACGTCCCAACGAGCAACAGCCCCCGCCACCAGAAATGCCTTCCTGGCAGCAAAGATCTACACCGCAGGTAATATTAAATCTTAAACTGTTACATTTGTGATTCTATTTTTATTTTATTCTTGAAGGTAAACAAATAATTTAATCAGTTGAAAAGCCTACATCCCACTGCAAGTCACAGGCCTCCCTACACATCTCTGAGCGACTTGAACCAGGAGAATCCGCTGGTCTACTCCAATTTGTTCTGGCGAACTTCATGTCTCGAAATATTATTACTGTTTGAATATGTATATTTTCTTTTTTAAGATTAAGGGTGACAAACGGGCACAGTCCACCTGATGATAATTGTATGCTGGGGACTATAGAATCCTACATTTATCCTCGATTCATAATCTAAACGAAGATGTATTGTCACATCCAGGACTAAGATAGAATGCTTCTTTACCTGTAAAAATAGTCTTTGGTTCTCTACACTCACCATACGAATACATTAAGCTGCTTTTTTATCCTGGTATTCTGTGAGAGTGTGGTGACCGATCCATGCTGCAACGATAATATAATTGCAGTGTGTCTCTACCACATTAAAAATCTCTATTTCTTTCTTTCGCATTATGTTTCTTTTTACACCGTGTTCAGCCCCTGGGTTCTACCACTAGATCCTTACTAAATAAACATTGTAGGGTGGTGGACGTGGTGGTGGTCAGGGAGGTCAGAGAGGCCGCGACAGCAGCGCGGGCCGCGGCGGCGGCGCCAGCCAGCGTGGCGGCGCGCGTGGCGGCGGCGGCGGGGGCAGGGTCCAGGGCGGCTACAACCAGTCACAGGATCACAAGTAAATACAATGCTGCTTTATTTTGATTCTGCACTTAGCGACTTTATTTTTTTAAATTAGCATATTAATAAAATATAAAAAAAATAAGATATCATTTTATATTTTTCTTTTTATATCATATACACAATTTTAAATACTTGTGTTTTATAAGCAGTAGTTAATGTTTAATAATTTTTAATTTAATAATGATGACGTCATAATGTTCCGAAGAGTCCGCTACCTTTGTAAAGCATAGATAAGTGTTAATGAATTCATAAATTAATAACATTTACATTAGAGATTTCACATAGATAACTGTTACGGCCTACGGCTGCTCCAGCAAAGGTTCAATCATCTGGGGCCCATCAGCGGAGACTTCACGAGCAGACGTAGGTCGGGCCTCAATACGGCCACGTGGAATTTGTTCTATCACAATAAACTATATGGGAGAAAGCTAGAAACACATAATACTTACCATTATCCGAAGCTAACTTCGCACCAAGGCTCGGGCAGGCCGTGAGTGTGTGTAATAGTGGATGGCGAGTAGTGTACAGTGATGTGTGAATGTGTGGGGCCTTGGCAAGCATAGGCGACCAGCAGCGGCCGAGTTCCAGGCTGCTCCAAAATACTGCATCGCTCTAGACTGCTTCAGCGCCGGACCACTTCTTTCTTCAATGTCACTAATTAAGTTTCTTAGTTTCATTGTAAATTTAACTAACTTAAATTCGCCTAATTCCACATTCATCGTAGAATCGAACACGTGATACCCGACAGATTCAGCGTTAAACACAACTAACTTCCTTCATTCGACACCAGAACAACACGTCGCGCCAGAGTCAAAAATACGCCTCGTTGACACGCGAATTAATCTAACTAGCCAACCAAAACACAAAAGGGGCACTAAACGCGACGACACAATTATAACAATATCTTGACAATTAACCGGGAGAAGCTCTCAAACTAGGAATTCGCGGTTCGAATCCTAGACAACAATATCTTGACAATTAACCGGGAGAAGCTCTCAAACTAGGCATTCGCGGCTCGAATCCTAGACCGTATATCTACTAGACGCGCGTACACTATTCCGCACTCTCGCCCGAGTTAAATATCGCACAATTCTATGTGAATTGTGTTGAACTACTGTTAAAAAAGGCCCGGTAGCAGCTATGACTATCGTTACTGGTATAACAGAACTAGTAATCGTATAGTTGCGGTGCTGTGGGTAGCGGGTTCGATTTCCGCGTAGATAAAAGCCGTAATATTTTTTAATTTTTTATTTAGTTTTTTTTTTCGAAAAAGATTGCAAAAAAAAATCTAATAATTCATATCCATTGAGAAAGAAATTGTAAAATATACTAACAATCTAAGGTAGATGAGAACTATGAAAATATTAGCAAACAAGAAAAAAATTAGATATCCATACTTTCTCATTAGTTTTTTTTTTGTTATTTATATATATCTTTTAATTCCAGATCACTAAACAATCAAAACTCCTACAACCAAAACCAACGCAATTACCAAACCTACGAGGTTCCACCCGGTGGTTACAACCAAAGCCAAGGCTACCAGACCCCAGCATACAGTCAGAACTCTGGTTACAATCAGAACCAAACTGGTTACGACCAGAACCGAGGGGGCTATTCCAGCCAAGGTGGTTATGGCGGTTATAACCAAGGTTACGATAGTGCTGGAGGCTTTAACCAAGGATACACTACACCAGGTATTGTGTGGACTCATTCAAATGGTTTAGATTAATTTTTAGTATGTTGGCAATTGTTCTAATTTTCAGTTATATAAGAATCCTGGGACTTCTCCCCAGGCAGGGATTTCAAAATATATCATTATGCCATCGTAATTTTTTATATTAGATCAACTTCTTATTTTAAGAGAAAAATGGTTCCACTATTTAACCAATAATTATCTGCCAATTTCAAGGCTGAACAAGCTTAAAAGTTAAAACAGTACTTAAAAAAAATTATACCGTCTATGTCACTTTCACAACTAAGACGAATCTAAACGAGACCTTATGTGTGAAATCCATCAATACATTTAGGCTACAGAGCGTGACAACGAAATAGACAGACATAGTACATACCCTCTTAAAACGTTACTCACCTTCTGGGACAGTCGGATAGAAATTAAATACAAGGAAATATTACTAAAAACAAAACAAAAGAAAGGTGCAGTGTATTATGTCTTCTAGTTTTTGGAACGATTATGTGCATAACCCAAGAAGTTGACATACTTAAAAAGGAAAAAAAAAACACCACTAGATTAGGTACCAATGATCCACGACTTCTTCTGGCACCAGGGCGGCGCCAATTAAAAGTGAGGTATAATATTTGACAGATTTCATAGCGGGGAAGTTAATTACTTGGGAAAATGTAAAGGTTAATGTTTATTTCTGTATTATTAGATATTTTTTATATTAATTAGATTAAAAATAAAAAAAAACAAGCTACAGATATTCATAAAAGCAGCATTTTTTTAAAAAAGTTGAAAATGTGCAAGAAATTAAAGACCAACCACTGAGGAATAATTTGTGTATCAATATAATACTCTAGAAAATGATAAACTTTTATTTAAAACTAACTTCTCAATGAAATGACATTGAGTAACAAAAAAAAAACTTTACCTCCGTGTCAACTAGCGACATCTGGTGAGCAGAAAATTATTAGTCTTCATTATATCGAAATACTATAGATTTAAATGAAATATAATAATGGAATTAAAATAAGATCAACTTAGTATTATTATTCGATGTACTTACGTTACTATTCCGAAGATATCCCGGACGTCAGTCTGAGCGAGATTAGAATGGCTCTCCAGCATCTTAAAAACGGCAAGGCCCCAGGCGAGGATGGAATTACAGCGGAGCTTGTGAAAGCGGGTGGAAAACCGGTACTGGAAGTCCTTCAGAGGCTCTTTAATTCTGTCCTCCGTGGTGGCATTACACCGGAGGCGTGGAGCAGAAGTGCGGTGGTCTTGTTCTTCAAGAACGGTGACAATGCTCTCTTGAAGAGCTACAGACCGATTTCCCTTCTGAGCCGCGTCTACGTGCTGTTTTCGAGAGTAATTACGAATCGTCTCGCACACAAACTTGACGACTTCCAGCCTCCCGAACAAGCCGGTTTCCGAAAGAGCTTTAGCACCATAGACCACATACATACCCTTCGGCAAGTTGTACAGAAGTCCGAGGAGTACAATTTGCCACTATGCCTGGCGTATGTGGACTATGAGAAAGCCTTTGATTCCGTCGAAATTTGGGCGGTGCTGCAGTCCCTTCAGCGGTGCCAAGTTGAATGTCGGTATATCGAAGTGCTGAAGTGCTTGTACAGTAGAGCTACGATGGCTATCCGAGAACAGAACCACAGTACGAAACCTATCCAATTGTAGAGAGGTGTAAGACAGGGTGACGTTATATCCCCGAAACTTCACCGCTGCATTGGAAGACGTTTTCAAGCTTCTGGACTGGAAAGGATACGGTATTAACATCAATGGCGAGTACATCACTCACCTTCGATTTGCCAATGATTTAGTCCTTATGGCAGAGTCGCTGGAGGACCTAAGCACTATGCTCAATGACCTCAATAGTGTCTTCCAACGGATATGTCTTAAGATGAACATGGACAAAACAAAGATTATGTTTAATGTCCATGTCACACCTATGCCGGTAGTTGTTGGGAGCACTAAGCTCGAAGTTGTTGACGAGTATATTTACCTGGGACAAATATACTACTTGAACTAGGTAAAAATACTTGGACTAGGTAAGTCCAACTTCGACCGAGAGGTCAATCGATGGATTCAACTGTGCTGGGCAGTGTTCGGGAAGCTATGACACATCTTCTCGTCAGACATACCTCAAAACCTTAAAACGAAATTGTACAACCAGTGTGTGTTGCCAGTGATGACTTACGGAACTGAGACGTGGTCCTTCACTACTGGCCGTATGAGGAAGCTCAAGGTCGCTCAGCGAGTTATGGAGAGGGCTATGCTCGGAGTTTCTCTGCGTGATAAACTTAGGAATGAGGATATCCGCAGTAGAACCAGAGTAACCGACATAGCCCAACGGATTAGTAAGCTGAAGTGGCAGTGGGCTGGCCATATAGCTCGAAGAACCGACAACCGATGGGGAAGAAAGGTTCTTTAGTGGCAGCCTCGTACCGGTAGGCGAAGTGTAGGGCGACCCCCCACGAGATGGAGTGACGACCTGGTAAGACATGCAGGAAGTCGATGGATGCAGGTGGCTCAGGACCGTGCTTTGTGGCATTCCTTGGGGGAGGCCTATGTTCAGCAGTAGACTTATGAAAGGCTGTAATGAATGATAATAATGTACTTACGTTGGTTAAACATTTTAATAAAATCCACATGTATACACACACAAGTGAAAATGGCGTCCCGCTGTATCATTACGGCCGCTATTTTGTTTACCTCTCATTGTTCTTCTTTAACTTATTTGTTTTTAAAAACTTGTGATACGGTTTTATGATAAATTTCGATTAATAGACTTTACTATAAAAATGTGAGCAACGCTTGAAATGTCGTTTTGAGGTGAACGTTCTCAATTCGTCTGTATGTTTTTTGCTGTATATATTACGCGATATGTTCGCCAATATTGATACCCATTTTAATGATCCTTTTTTATTAAATACAGTATATATACTTTATGGCTAATGGTGAATAAATATGGGTAAATTTTTTAATTCTAGTTCTTAAAATCTTGAGCTTGTGATGTTTTTTTTTTTTATAGGATAAGTGTGACAAACGAGCACACAGTCCACCTGATGGTAAGTGGTTGCTGCGGCCCATAGACATCTACATCTATCCTCTGTTACAAATCAAAATGTAGATGCCTTGTCACCCGTGAGGACTAAGATGGAATGCCTCATTTCCAGTAAAAAGGGCCTCCGGCCACCTGCACTCACCAAGCGAAACGCAGAGGTAAACCTCTACTTCACGCTGGTTTTCTGTGAGGTCGTGGTACCACCCCGGTTCGAGCCGGCCCATCCGTGCGACAGCAAAAGCTGCCGCGTGGCTCTACCACTGTTCCTCAAGTTCACTCAAAAGGGTCAGAAAATCAATTCATTAATAAAAATGTAAAAGCTGACGTCAAAGAACCAAAAATTACATAAGAATTTCATTCTTTTATATACTGTGTGTTAGCATCAACCTCTCCTTAGATTTTTAAACTATACGCCTGATTAACTTTAAATTTGGCATATATATTCCTTTCTCGTCGTAGACTATGGAAGAGTTTTGGAAAATTCAATCCCTAAGGAATGAAATAGGGTGTTACAGCTTGCTATTGACACTACTCTGAAAGATGTTGAAAACGTTTCAGGCTTCAATAAAGGTTACCAGAGCCAAGGTCAGAATTACGGGCCAAGTCGCTACCAGAACGAGCACGACGACCGCGACCGGCGAGGTCGTGGAGGCTTCAGGGGTCGTCGCTAGCGAACGGACGTCAATGTATTATTTATTTATCATCATTACGAACTTCCGTATCTCAGATTTGTTACATTACGTTTCATTTCATTCTGTAGCAGGTCTTAAAGTATAAGAAAATAAACGTTTTATTTTATCAACATTTATCTGTTTTTTTTTTCGTTTCAGCTGTCAAGCTTCTATATGTTTATTTCAAATGGCAACACTAATATTGTAATATTAGTGTTACCATTAAATTTAGTTAAATTTTGTAAAGTTATTAAGTAAAATTTATTTTTTTATAAATTCTGACAGTTAAATCTTACGTACTTGTGCACTATGTAGTTTAGAATAATGTATTTGATTTAGATTTTTTACCATTTTGTTAAATAGAAAGCTTATATATAATACACTGTATTTATAAATCTTAAAGTAAATTGAATTTCAAAACCCAATTTTTAACATTTCAACCTATGAATAAAAGATGCAAAATTTTATAAGATACTGCCTCTATTTTTATTTATGGCTTACAATATAATTACAACAACTAAATGCCTAATTTTGATTTCATATTATATTGCTTATTTCTATTCCTATTTCTTCTAACCATTGAGTTATATGTACTACGTACTAGAGAAGCCATTCCAAACAAAAATTGTGCGCTACTCTATGTCTTCGCGCCTACGCAGGAGATAGTAGAGCCGCCCATGCGCAGTTGATATATTGTTACCTATTTATTTACTTGAACAACAAATCATTTTACTTACTTGACCACTGAATTATTATTTACGTTCAGGTTTAAACTTTAATTTGAAATCTCGTATTATTAGCGCTGCTCTACATTGCATGAATATTGAAACCACAGACAAACTAGTAGATTGAAACCACACTAAATGACACTAAAGTACTCGCAAGGTGTACGGATTGCAGTACAGTTAAGTTGAACACAGTGAATGTTCGGAATGCGAAATCTAGTGCGTAGTACATTCTTCTATTGCTTCTAACGTATTCTGATTATATTTTGTTAAACACTCTCTTACATTGTAATTAACATTGTCCTCATAGATATTGTGCATTTATTAGAAATTATAGACTTACAAATACATTGTAATGCATCGAAAGCTAATAAGTTGACTTAGACCAAAAAAGAAAGATAAATGAAGCGCTGCGTACATTTAAAGTGACGCCGAAACCAAGCCAAAACCATGGTAACTTATTGTAACAGCACGCACTCACGCACACCAGTGCAATATGCATCTTAAATCACAAAGCAACCAACTACATAGATGTAGGCTTTTAGTGTGTGCATCCTGTACTAGACTTTTACGGGCTGTTAAAGAAAGAAATAGATTTTTTAAATTCAATATAGATTATAAATAATACTTATTGAAAGTCATTCTTACGTTTAATTTACCGCTGGTTCGCAAAATACATGTGGCTTGGAAAGAACCAGCAAGAAACCCAGTGGAACATTTATTTAAAAAAAAAAAGAACAAATAACAATCATGCATTATGTTAAGGCCCGGCTACTCTATCAATCTTACTCGCACAAATTCTATTTTGCACAAGTAAGCATGTACGTTACGCCGGCAAAATGTCTTGCACCAATGCTTAATTTGCTCAAACTAAGGACGGCGTGTGGACGCCACACATGTTATTTGCGAAAAAACTGTTTGCGCATGCAAGATGTGTGTGGACGTTGTGCAATGCACCATGTTTTTTTTTGCGCAAATTTTTTGTACAAAATTAATTGGGCATACAAGTCGTTGCGTGTAGCCGGAGCATTAAAAAGTATACAATAAGAAAAATGTGTGTGTGTTATGTTATGAAGTTGGGCATGGTTTCGGCGTTCGTCTATCTTTCTTTGTTGATTAACTAATGATCAAATAGTGTTTGGTTTTTACATTACATTAGCGTTATATAACCCGTTGTAATATTCATGTGCCTTGTGGAGCTATTGGAAATAATCATGAAACAGTATAGTAAGCAGCACGGATTATGATTGCTGTCTTTCACATGCACTGTCAACGTTAGTAAGTTGACGGCCTCGTTGGTGTAGTAGTCGTAAGCGTGACTGATGATCATGTCGTCTCTGGTTCGAATTCCGGGTCGGGCTAAAATTAGTTATTGGGATTTTCTGTATAGAAATTTTTAATAGCAGTCATGAAGGTTGCGGTGTTTCAGCCCGTGTCTCGGAAAGTACGTGAAGTTGTTATTCTTGCGCCTGATCTCTCTCCGGTCGTGTCGAATTGCTGACTCGTCAAACCATGACATTAAGAGAAATGCGCACACACACTTGTGCACTATAATAATCCCGTGCTACGCAGATCGTTTTCACTGAGATATTATTAGTGGTAAGTGCAAATACCATATAAAAAGTATACAGTAGTATAATTGATTAATTATTAATTAATATATTTACGCCACTAGTTCCATCAAAGTTGTCCACCGCTCAAAATTCGTGCTGACTACTGTACTTTGATTAGCTGATATCATTAAATAGTACAATTTAATGTAGCCAAAATGTACTTTCAATAATTATATTGCCTAGTAAATCAAATGTTCAAAGATATAATCGAATATAGTTATGAAATATGTATGTACTTTTTTTTTGTAATTAGCTAATATACTCCGTGCAATATGTTATACTTATATACAAATTATGGCAGATTGTATATATTGTTTCATTCATGCGTGTAATACCCAGGTAACTGCATATGTCGTCACTTACAACATGTGTGTGTGATGGCACTGCGAATGGTATTTAATCCTTTGGAACGCTCGACCAAGCGCGCTTACTCGGACTTTGTGTTGGTACCATGTTGGTACATTTTGTTAAAGATTTCCATTGTGCGGATAACTTGGTTTGACTTTCGCTTAGCGCTGCGTAAATATCTCGACTAGATCTGCAACACTAAAAGTATTATTGCTAATAATTTTTATTATGACAGATTACATCAAATGTAATGTTAATTGTGAATTCATTTTTATTAAACCGATTTCTTACTAAATAAAGACGATATTGATTATTTGGTATAGGTATCAAAGTAATTTGTTTGTAGCAATATCACTTCTGACATCGACAAAATAACATAGTGGACGGAGAACAGCTTAAATTAAATAGTATAAAATCATTACGTTTTAGCTTAAATATTTTAGACATAATATAGCAATAAATGTAACACCACGCCTTAACAATAGTTGCTCACAATATTGACAGATAGAGATAGGTGTTTCAAAAAAGGACGTTTGTTTTATAAACGCCTGTTATTTAATGTTAACCGATCAAACAACAGCATAGTAAAATAACAAAATGAACGTAATTTAAAGTTGAAATTAGTCTTAGTTTACTTGCATAAGGCCCTGGCTAGATAAGATGGAATGGTAATTAAAATATTAAACAGAAGGCAAATATATGAACATTGTAATACACTATACAAACGTTGGTATCATGTTATGATAAACAGTTTAAGTATCATAGTTATTACAGTTATTAATCACCTTAAAATTTTACTTATCAGGAATAAACAACAAAGTAATTTTTATTTACATGTAATCTTTACACTTGGCGTTAGGAGACATCGCCCACACTGCAATAATTATTATCTATTATACATTAAAATATCCAGTTGTCTTTGGTAGCGATTATGTTTCAGTAAATATCATAGTATGTTATCATACACTAGACTATACAATATAATGTTAGTTTTTCATTTTTCAGCAACTCATTATTCTATTGTCTATTTTTTGTGTAAATAAATATTAAAAAAAATCATTCACAAATATGCGTTTCACTCACATACATACACACGCACGCACACACACATGGGTTTGTTTGTAAATAGGTTTTTGTTGTAATACGCTAAGTTTTTTTTTATAAAATGGAAGTTACAAACGAACGTGCACGCATAGATATTTGGCGGCAGAAACAGGTAAGAGGGTGACACCCACCCAGACGGGCTCGTAGGCAGAAAAGGTGTCCTACCACCAAAAGAAAATGTAATCCGCAATTTCAATTTTTTTTTATAGGATAGGGTGACAAACGAGCGCACAGTCCACCCGATGGTAAGTGGCTACTGTGACCCATAGACATCTACATCTATCCTCAATAAAGACTCAAGATGCAGATGCGTTGTCACCCGTGAGGACCAAGATGGAATGCCTCTTTTCCAGTCAAAAGGGTCTCCGGCCTGTGAGAGCGTGGTCCTTCCCCGGTCGAGCCGATCCATTCGTGCTACAACTATACTACTAATATAGCTGCAGCATGGCTCTACCACGTAATTAAAATTATCTTGTTATAATTCATGTTGATTTAATAACAATTTAAAAATAAAAATATTACACACTTATGAAGCCAACAAAGAAGAAAGACGAAGCGCTGGGTACTTCGGTCACAAGTAATAACTACATACACAATACCATGCAAAAGTTCTCTAATACCTCCTCTACACTGCTCGCGAAGTAACTTTGACGAAGTGCTCGTCGGATTCGATCGCAGTCCGAAGAACGGGACTACACACTCGTGCTACTTCGCGAAGAGCTCAGTCGTCATAGATAATATACTATATAGGGTCAGTCGTCTTGAGTCTCCCACACCCTTAACATGAATAACGTTCAAGAGGCAGCTGCTATGGGTACCTAATTGTGTGAACACTACGATGTCAATGCGTTAACTAAATAAATAATTATGTAGAAAGCTACATTTTATTTAATATTTATATGTAAAAACAATATTCATAACTGGCGTAAGCCGAGTAGTGTAGTGAGGACGCTTCGTGTAACTTCGGGGTACTTCGCGAAGTCCTTTGACTCTGGCGCAAAAAACCGACAGCGATCGGAAGTCGCCCGAGGTGAAGCGGCGGCTCTCTACACGATTCGCCTCGTGCAACTTAGATCGAATAGTGTAGAGGAAGCATAAAAACTGTCGCCAATTGTTTTGACGTAATTCTAGTTTAAATAAATATACATGTATATTTATTTAAACTAGACTGTTTACTTAAAGTAAGCATACGGCTCCTGATGGTAAGTGA